GGGGTCCTTACACAGCCATTCCCACCTTGCACTCTGGTGGGAGAAGCCAGCTTGGGCCTGGGCCAACACGTCAGAACATTCACTTGGCTAATTCTTTTTTTTTTGAGGATTAGTGGCATTTGATTTACTTGGTAAGAACACTGCTTGAGTGAATAAAGATAACACAGAAAAATGAGGGGAACTGCTGCTTGAAATTCTGCCTAATTCCAAGTTTACTTGGAAGGCTTCCTGACATGCCAATGTTTTTTAAACATTTCTGGACAAGAAGAAAGAGACTTAGTCTTCTTTAAACCTAATAATTGATTGCAAAGGATGTATGAACCATCTGATGATGTCATATCACCAAATTAGAAAATAATTTATTAACCCTAAGGGAGCCCTCAGGCACCCTCTGGTGTGAATTTGGTACATTAACACAAGTCAGTCTGTGGGCCACAGTGATGCTCTCGGCTTGCTCAGCTCAGCTCTTCAGCCTTTCCTGAGTATTATTTTCTCACGGGCAGTCATGGTTACCCCACTGCTAAGGTTTGAGGTTACAGCACAAAGTGAATTTTCCCTTTACATAAATAATTTATATCTCAAAGTACTTTAACGGTGCCAAACACTAGCTGTGGAAGCAATTCAAAAGCTGGAAGACATGCAGCAAGTTCACAATCATAGAATCATAGAATCATTCAGGTTGGAAGAGACCCTTGGGATCATTGAGTCCAACCATCTACCCTACTCTACAAAGTCCTCCCCTACACCATATCCCGCAGTACCCCATCTAAACATCCCTTAAACACATCCAGGGATAGTGACTCAACCACCTCCCACATAAATATATATATAATCCCATATAATCATATCAAATCCAAGTGATCAAAACCACTAATTCAGCCCACAAAGCATAAAAGGCTGTAAAATCCATTGAAAAATAGTAATTATAGTTATAGTGAGCTGTTTGTGAAGAGAATTCCACTTATTTTAGAGTCTCCAGATAGTCATTTGTTTACATACAGTCAAAGTTTCACACCTGTGCTGATAATTCAGCAACCTTAACGTAAAGCATTAATGGAGTGTTTAGAAGCATAAGGGGAGTCATGTTCAAAGCCAGTGAGGTGATGTGGAACTGGGAGTTTGTGTGTGTCCCTGGTGACTTAGTCCTCCAGCTCTGTCAGCAGGCAGGATTTGAGCTCAGTATTCACAATATTCTCACTTCTGTGGTTTTACCTGTCTGACGAGTCTGATTGATTGTTTATTTAAGATATTAGTAATGCCTTCAAAAAAATCCCTCTGTATTGTCTTTTCTTTGTTTAAAGGAAATCTGTGCTCTCCTGCAGTTAATTTCCTTCCTGTCACATCATTACCTTTTGCACAAATGCATCATATTTGAAAAACTTAATTAGAGCAAATGATGTTGCCATGACATTTACTTGGTCAAAATCCTGTTAACAATGAATGAGAGACTTGCAGTGACCTACAGCAGATTTGCCAAATGGCAGGGAAAACACATATTATTTCCATTTTATTCTGGAGCACTACCAATATATCTTTTCAACATGATTCTAATTTAGTATCTAGGCAGGGCAGGAAGTGGGGGACAGCAGGATACAGCCCCAGGCATGGGGTGTCTTCCTGGGGATGGGGACAAGCCAGGCTGGGACATCAGCCTGCGAGTGGGACCCATGGCCAGGGGGCAGCCAGAACTGCAGCTCAGGATGGGCCAAGGTGAGAGCCTCAGCTGGAAACAGCTCCCCTGGCCTTGGTTTGGCCCCAGGGCATCTGGGAGCCTCTGCCCAGGGTCACCACGGGGACCAGATCACCCGTGGCTGGATCAGCTCTGAGCTGGCCCCAGGCCCTGGCAGGCACACCTCCAGGAGCCCCCAGGGATGCTCTCACAACCCTTACACAGCTACTTCACAAAGGCCGCATTTTTATTATTTTATGGCTAGAGGACAACATCATAAAGAAATTACAGTCACATGAACCTATCTGTTTGGGGTGAGCACAATTTTCCAGGCACCTTTGGCTCTGTGGCCATGGCTGTGCTAGTCAATTAACCCTGGAACAGTTTGCTGGATCTAAGAGGTCCAGCTGATGTGAAAGCATCCTAACACATTTCTAGCAAAGACTTAGTCATTGCCCTCAATGAAGGTGATACCACATGAAGAAAAATAAGATAAACCTGTGTGATAAAACACATAGACAGGGAACTCAAGGCCACTTTGACAATGCAAAGCTGTTCTTAAAAGGACTGCTTCAGGAATAGCAGACATTTTGTGTGAATCAGTCATGCTTTCTCTCTATTCAATGTTTATACTATCTTAATTGTCTGCATTAAATAAAATGTCTTCTTAGAATTTGAACTCTAAAAAGAATCCCAACCAAAAATAATTTGTTACTCCAGCCATGGTTCAGGATTCTTTCCAAGTAGCAATTTTGATTCCTTATTCCTTATATTCCTTTATTTTATAATGTATCCTAGATCTTGAGAGGGAATTGCTTTAAAGGACACTTTAGTTAATCTTTTCCTGATTACACTTCTCAGCCATATTTCCTCTCCTTACAGTAGCACACTGCCATTTTTATGAAAAAAGAAGTTCAAACTTGACTCAAACCCAAAAAGGTAAGGAGTTTTCCTTACTGCGATAGTATTGCTGTTATAATAATAATGAATTTCCCATTGACACCAGACTGAATTGGATTAGGTCGGGTTGGTACCATGAGTGTCACTCAGATGGGAGCCTTGTTGCTGCAGGCACCACGCAAACACAGCAAGAGACATCTCCTGCTCCCTATGACCACGTGCCCCCAGGATAGCAAAACTGAGAGCATTCTCAAACATGACCTGAGCAGTATCTTTCACTGCATTTCATTCGGTTGCTTCACCAGTTGCCTCATTTTGCCTCTTTTGCCTCTCAAAGATAACAGCACATTCAAAATGCTTCAATGAAAGGTGCAAGAGCTGCTTGCCTGGATCAAACTTAGCTGGGAAACCTTGGAATGAACTAGAAAACTTCAGCATGGAAATGTCATGAGGTTAAGCGTAAAGGAGCTCTGTTTGCAGAGCAGGGTTAGCAGCAGACAAAAAAAATGAATCTTTAAATTACTTTCCTTGTCCCCACTTACCTCCTTGCAGAGGGATGCTGTTCCTGGGAGCTCAAATGCATGGATCACTCCCATGCCCGAGAGCTGCATGTGGTTGCTAGGTGGCAGTGCAGTTTTCAGATCATTATGTTGCTATCCCAGAGAGCTGCAAATAATCTGTGCACAAGAGCTGCTCATTAACTGGTAGCCCATGAAGTTTCAAAGAGCATCTGTATGACGGAAGTCCTCCTCCCTTGGTCTTTCTCCAACTCATGCTTCTGAATTCTTAAAAATAGTTAGGAGGAGATTTTAAGTGCTGTAGTCCATGAAACTGCTTCTGGTATTATTTGACTTACACAACCAGATGCCCTGTAATGTATTCAGGAGATGGAGAATTAGTCAGCAGAGACAGCAGGTATTATGAGCCCCTATTCTTTCCCTGGTACCTGCAGGGACCTTCTAAAGCCCTACAGGAGTATTTCACACCAAGATGCAGTGAATGACAGCATCTAACAGATGCTTCACTCTCTGACAGCCTTAGCTGAAGCAGACCACAAGCATCTGATACTCGAACAGCAGATCAGAAAGCAGGAAGCTCAAAGCATCCTACCCAGCTCATATGCCCAGTAGTTCTGAATCAAGAACAAAGTGATACATTTTGCAGGACACATATTAGCACTCACCTCAGTGCTATCCTGTAAAAAAAAAAAAAAAAAAAACAAAAAAAAAAACACTTACGCACTTTAGGTACAACTTTTTTCTGAAATTGTTTGGTACTTTTAACAAACAG